ACACTTAGCGCAGGGTTTTATTTAAAATCTGTTTGTGAATCTTTCTAGACTCAGTAAATCAAACTCTGTCCAGTACTACCCCATTTTCTCCAGCGTTACAAAATTAGAATGGCATTTGCTAATAGCTTAGATCTGCTAACCAAGTGAATGTAATCCTCTAAATGTAATCCCTTTTTGTTTCCAACACGGAGAAGTTCAAAAATCTCCAGTTCAAAACAGGAATCAAAACACATTTTGTAATAATGCCAAGAAAAATATGCTTCTCCAAACTTTTAAAGTCTTCCAGCATATGTAGATGTTGCACAACTCTCATATGTGGGAAAGCATGGCCAGAAAGTTTTGTAAGCGTTTTATAAGAAACTCCCAACCCTTTTGCTCGATGAGAAATGTTAATCTTTATGTCTTACTGTAACTGACACTAATTTTCTTTTCTCTTACCGTTCGCCTGAAGAAATGGGTGAATTTGCAACAGATATTTTCAGCAACTAAAAAGGAAGGTGGACGATGGAGGGAGAAATAGGGGCCCTGATTTGGTTTCCAATCTACAAAGGAAAGTAATCCTATCTGGCAGTCTAATGTGATTTTAATACTCGTGCTACATCTCAAGTGTGATTTGCCCGTGTGAATGCTTATCAGATGCATGAGATGGAGTTGAACGTGACGCTTGGTCCTTTGCATACGAGGCCACTGTTTGTCTAATCTTTATGCCTCTTATGGATTTGACTACCAAGCTAACAAGTGTGAAGCAGCTCATCAGGGAAGAATGAGGAGTGTGACAGGAATAGGTGAATGATTATGAAAAGAGCAACGGTTTGGGTAACATTTATGAAAGAGCCTATATCCAGGCTTTACACAGAGCTCCTGGCAGGTCTTAGACATGTCCACAGAACATGGAGCTGAATGAGAGATGAAACTGTAGCTTCACATAAAGACAATCAAACTAGAACTTCAAAGTGCCACTGAAGTATTTCCTCTTAGATTTGTGTGTTTAAATGTGCAAATAGGTGTGTAAATTAACAAATGGATGTTGGCAACAACACTGAAAAAAATGATTCAAAGATCATTCCTTGGATTTACTCATTTTTTAAAGTTAAGTGGATGTAAACATTTTATTTGGGTGGAATTTAAACAAACAAATTAAATAAACATTACTAAAGGTAATCTGTTTGTTTAAATCCAACACATACATTGTTTGCAACAATTTTGCAGACATTTTTTTTTTTCAGTGAACAGAAGAATCGACAGTGCGTCAAAACAGCAAATACATGGCTAAAGAAACAACAATGAAACATGATTGTGTGACACTGACAGCTTGTTTTTTGTATTCCTTGGTTTATGAAGCATAATAATAGCTATATTTAGTTAGCTTAATGAGAACTGTAATGGCCAGTTGAAAATATTACATTTAAAATATGCCAAATGTTTATAAAATATGTTTAAACAATTGAAAATGTCTTGCTGTACAAAGATAAAAACGTTGCACAATTGTTAAGCAATTAGGGACTGCATTGTGATCCTTAAAGTAATAATTCTACATAAAAATGAACAAGAACTTATTATTTAGCCACCCTTAAGTAGGGTTGTGTATCAAAACCCGTAACCGGTATGTACTGGTATCAAATCAGTTTATGAATTTCGGTGCCACTGGTGCTGCGACCAGGACGTAAGAAGCATTAAGGGGTGCATCAAAGGCACTCATAAGTATGTGTTGTCAAACCATCTATTAATAATTATTTCTAAACAACTTTGAGGAATACGGACAGGCGATGTCAGGCGTTTGTTCTTGTTGCTTTAGGAGCAGATGCACGCGCGCAATGCACGCAGTACAGTGCATTAGATGAGCGAGAAAGACTCTCTTCAAATCAGCAAGCATGATCGCGTTCATCAAATTTGCTTAAACTAAGCATTCTAAAGCGTATTTTACTAGCAAGTATTCTGACACAGCAACATGAAGCAGATGTTTTACAAAACTTGCGTGTAAGGGGAAACTCGTCAAGCTTAATGACACATTTGAGGGCTCAAAGGCAGATGAATGCACTGTCTCTGACAATATCTGGCACTTTAAATATATGTACATGGACACCAATGCTCTTATTTTATTGTGATTTAGACAATACTCTGATTTAGAGTCTAGACCACCATGTAAACAGTGATTTCTGATAACCTTTAAAGGACCACAGACACCTGCGTCGCAAAATACGAAGTTTTTTTTTCTTTCCATTCAACGTGCGGTATCAAATTCCTAAAGATTGGATAAAGAACGAGCCTCTGCCATAGGCTTCTTTGCTATTACACTTTACTTTATTCCATTACTTTTGTGTATAAGAAAACTGAGGTGTACGCACTCTGCTGAAAACAACCATTACCCTACATATTTAATTTAGTTTGTTTAGTGCAAAGATTTGTTTCAAAACTATTTTTAAATTCAGTTTTAATTTCCATTAAACAAAATAAATGAACAATAATAGCGAATTCTGTTTAAAAAACTTCTTAAAAACTATTCTTATGCCCCATATGGTGATGCATACTCTCCAAAACCTGACAGGTGGACAAATCTGAACTTGTTTTTGATTTGTTTAAAACAAATATAAATATGCATATAAAAATAATACTGCTACCACCCCTCCCCTCTGATGAAGAAGGCATGGAGATAGGGATTTTTATTTTTATGTAGAAATTAATAATTTTTGTAACATTTTAAATCTTTAATTTTTTTTCATATGTAAAGATATTTGTGTAATATTGTACATCCTGTGTGTATTAAGCAATGTGTAAGCGTTTGGACCTGCATAGGCGCATAACTAATGTTCTCTGTGCTGTAGATTAGACCAGGTTTTATTTGGTCAGTGGCGCAATCTATTTTAATTCTTGAAAATAGCAATTCGCCTTAACACACCTCCTTTTTAGGAGCACCTATGAGTCCGTAAAGCAGCCCAAATGGATTTGCAATTTAAACAACGTGGTGCAAAGCGTGAAAATTAGTGCTGCACCAATAAATCGAGCCAAACACTTCTTACACCTTTTTGCGCTGGGTGTAAGATAGGGTCTTTAAAGACCTTTCCTGTCAAATGTGCTCCTCTCCATCTACATTGAAAATAATTATTTATTGGATTTAATGCATTTATTAATTTAAGTGGTTGCAAAACATTATATGGGCTGGGCTGGACTTAAACAATCCAATTAAATTTAGTAATGTTCAACTTAATTTGACAGTTTATATTCAGCCCATATAAATTGCAACCACTTACTTAAAAAAATTTAGTAAATACAATGAATATATTTTTTAGTGTATTTAAAAGTAAAACTCTCAAAAATTTATCTACATTAGAAAGAAATATAGAAAAATAGAAATGGAGTTCAAAATGAAAAAAAAGGGTTGAGATTTTCTTATGTAAGTAATCAGGTCCTGGTTAGAAGCACCTGGTTGGTTAGTGATTTTAGGACCCAAGTGGACCTCCTGTAGAAATTGAAGTGTAATTCTAATTGAAACCACTTTTTAGTCCAGGTTTAATACTCTAAAGTTCCTTGCTTTAAAGCTGCTATGAAGTGCAATATAAATAAATGTGACATGACGTGCAAACATGCAATGTAAATATTTCTGCTTCAATTTTTACAAACAAATCAACTTTTCCATTCACCTTAGATCACAGGTGTCAAACTCAGTTCCAAAATGGCCGCAGCTCTGCACAGTTTAGTTCCAACCCTAATTAAACACACCTGATCAAACTAATTGAGTCCTTCTGGCTTGTTTGAAACCTACAGGTATGTGTGTTGGAGCAGGGTTGGAACTAAACTGTGCAGGGCTTCGGCCCTCTAGGAATTGAGTTTGACACCCCTGCCTTTGATCAATCAAACAGATTAAATGTAAGGTAAATGTTGTATAAACTGTGTAATTCAACACAAACCTGATTAACTCATTAAAAGTAACATAAAACATATTGCTGTATTTTTCTTCAGACGTCTTGAAGCTGCCATTTTCTCACCTTTGTAATTTTGTTTGTATGTTTGTTTTGCTATTGCAAGGAACGTGTGCAGTGCATAATTACATATTCATCTAAAAACTTCTCTCAGCAGCATGGGTGCTTTCAGGATGTTTGCAAACAGTATACCCCATAGTAACATTACCCTTAAATGAAATATGAAAAAGAACTTTGCTGTGAGTATATGGGTGTTTTAAGTGTACGAGCCCCAGTGCGCACACAGAGCAGATCACACTCACGATATAGCAGGGTTCACAGTAAGCCTTCTTCTCCACGGCATAAAAGGGCTTCCCTCTTAGCTTAGAGCCACAGGTCATGCAGATGAAGCAGTCCACATGGAAGACCTGGTCCATGGCGGTACAACCTGTGCCCTCTCCAACCACATTCTCCCCACAGCTTGAACACCGACCTGCAAAATACAGGTTCAATTATTAATTACCTCTAAAATATATATTGCAAAATAACAAACGGTGAGAAACATATTCAAAATCAGAGACATGTATACATACGCAGAGGTAGAGTGTGAATTTGGATTGGGTGGGGTTGATCTGCTTAATTAATACTTGATTCCACACTGTGTTGTCAAAACAGCATATGTGTTTATGTGTGTTTGGGGGTGTCTGCTCCATAAATAGTGAAAAATAATTTGCACTGATCTGTATCCTAAATAATAACAATAATGCAAAAAAAAAAAATAAATAAATAAGGGTAACACATTAGTTTAGGTCAAAATTCATGCTATTAACAAACCATTAACTAACACTGCTAGCTTAATAAACAACTAATTAGCTGTTTATTAATAATTAGTACAGTAGAAGTTGGGTTTAGGTTGTGAGTAGGATTAAGGATGCAGAATAAGATCATACTTCATAACTATTCATGAATAGCAAATATCTTAATAATCAACAGGTTATAAGCCAGCAGTTAATAGAATGAATTATGACCTAAACTAAAGCTAATGTAAATAAAAAATCTGACAGCCCCTTTAATGGTTCACACAACTGTCAATGCATAATCAAGTCCAGCAGGCCGTGCAGGAAAATATTTAGCGGTCTGAAACTGGCAAATCTAGCCAGAACATTATACTCTGCAAGTGTTCAAAGAACACTTGAGTATAGTTGTTTGTTGCTGCATACAGTATAGCCTAATACTCAAACTAGACCTGCAGCATGTGTTTTAATAGATGCTCACAAATGAAAGTTAAACAGTAAAACAGAAAGCTTGATGATTCAATATCATCCATATAGATGTAGGATTGCAAACTTCTCACCATTCTAATTAAATACTTCATATTAACTATAGGTTGTATTTGAGAATCGTATTGATCTATTTAAATTATCAGTTACTGTAGTTCATCAGAGCTTACTGTAGGTCAGTACACATTTTCCCTAAAAACCACTGAAAACCTTAATAAGTTTCATTTATTAATGAGGTAATTGCATTAAGTATACAGTTGAAACGAGATTTATTAAACTTTGGCACCCTGATGAAGGACAGTCTGATCTTTAAGCACAACAAAACTGGACTCTCTAACTCAAACTCTCTAGCGCCACCATTTGTCCAAATTTTCATTTATGTTTTTCATCATTGAACCGAATAAGCTAAAATCAAAACTCTTTTTTTTCTGATTCCTTGGCTCAGGCTGATCCAAATGTGGCGTCATTTTCCATCATGAAATTGTTTTTCGCTATTTTGAACTTTTCATAAAACCTATTTAAACGAACTTGTGCTAGGCTGTTAGTCCAATTTTCACCAAAATTAAATCACATAATCTATAGACCAAGCTGATCAAAACTTAAGGAATTTAAGTTGATTAGATAAATTGTTTTTGATTAACTAATTTAACATAAAGCTTGCAAAAATTGACTAAAAAACTAAATTCCTGGGGGGCGCAGCTCTGCATAGTTTTGCTCTAACCCAAACACAGCTGATCCATATAATCGAGGTGTTCAAAAGAGTAATGAACACCGTCATTAGTTAGATCAGCTGTGTTTGATAAGGGTTGGATTAAAACTGTGCAGAGCTGCAGCCCTCCAGGAATTAAGGTTGAGACCTATACCTTAAGGTGTTATCTCCGCATTTAATGAATTTTTAATTTTTTTGAAAATTTTGACAGCATTTCCAATATTATTTTTTCTTCTGGAGAAAATCTTATTTGTTTTATTTTGAATAGAACAAAAGCAGTTTTTAATTTCTTTAGCCTAACCTGCCTAGTTAACCTAATTAACTTAGTTAAGCCTTTAAATGTCACTTTGAACCACTTTGAACTTTAAAGTTAAAAAACTAGTGAAAAATATGAAGTGAAAAATATCTAGTAAAATATTATTTACTGTCATCATGGATATCAAAGATAAAATAAATCAGTTATTAGAAATCAGTTTTTAAAACTATTAGATTCATAAATGTGTTGATAAAATCTTTTCTCTGTTAAACAGAAGTAAACAGAGGGGCTAATAATTCAGGAAGGCTAATAATTCTGACCTCAACTGTATTTGGTACATTGACACAGGCATAGCTGTACAGTATGCATTACACAGACGACGTGAAAAAAATCAACCTCTCTATTGGTCATATAAATTGCACACTGCTTATATGGTTAAACGGATTAGATTTGCAACAGTCTACAAAACGCTGCTTTGTTTTAAACCAAACTTTATATTTTTAAATAAAGATGTTACATATCTTTAATTCACTGATTGAATTTGTCTATAGTTTACCCAAATATCATAGCATGTGTTGTATATACATTTCTAATTAAGAGCTATAGCTATTTTAATTAATTATTTCAGTTGCAGAAACCACTATGTTTTTGCATTTTTTTTAAAAGAGCATGAGATGTTTAATCTATTAAGCAGAATAACACTTCAGCTTTCAGGTTGAGAGATAATCTTGAATAAACTGTGTCTGTCGCCCTTTCAAGCCAACTCTCCTTTGTGGTACAAGCAATGATAACATAATCTACACTACTGAGTAATTGCAAGTCTCGTGGATAAAAAGGATTAAAAGACTCAGTGTCAAATGCAACAGAATATGAGGAGCATTTCTAAAGTTAGATTGATACCATCTCTAGGGAATTTACCCCTTTAAAGTGTTTTTTTTTTTCTTTTTTAAAGTGCGAAGTGATCAGTTGCCCTACAATTGTAGAAATCTAAGGCATTTAATAAGGTCATTCACTTAATCGAGACAGAGCTGATGATTTTTTTTTATTTTTTTTGCAAAGAGATTGCACATCAATGTAGCAGAGCTTGCGCAAATACCACCTGCCATCTGTCAACTCACTCATCACAACACGCTAAAACATGAAACTTATCACTCAGACGATGTCAGAAGCGTAAAGAGCTCACATTCCAATTCTATCATCCCTAATAGCCACATATAATATCTCCACTGGGATGAGAATAGGATTAAACAACACATTGGCACATTGAAGCGCACCCAATCTTTTCATGATAAAACTTTGGAAGTGGAAAGAGCACAATCTTTGTGTTACAGGGCATCTGGTATTGCATAGAAAAAAGATCCTGATTGCATATTGTGGGACACGGCATTTGGATATCTGTAATTGAGTTGAAGCTATCTTTAATTGAGCTTAAGATGTCTCCAACTCAATGCAAAGATATCTTCAAACCAATTAATGACGCCAGCAGTTTAATTAGCAGTATCAGGAAATAATGCGCTTTAGAGCCATATCTTGTGGTGTTTTCCTTTTTACACATCTGAGGACAGATAGGATCTCTAAAAAGAGAGAGAGAATGTGAGATATTATGAATTAATTTACTTAACTTTAGTTCTGTAGCTCCTCATTTTTCTTTTCTCTTTCTTTTGTGCTTCATTTAAGCCTGTTTTTAGAAATGATACACCCTCTGACTGCAATGAGAGCCAGAGTTCAAGCTTGTCACAGACAAAAGGCGAAGCAGTGAGCAGGAGAAATATCAGACACGCTCCCATTTTCACTGCTGAAGCTGTCGGCGGCATCAACAAAACAGACTGAACTTTTCCGCTCTTCAGATTAGATATCAAAGCTGAGCGGAATATGAGCACCTCTTCTCAACAAAGTTTTAATCGTAGATAATTCTCCTCACGCGTGTGGATTAACGCAGTGATATCTGTTCAGTTTCATCGATGCATTGGAAAAAAGGCATTAGTATTTTTATCATGTTTTTCATGAAGAAAAAAAAAAACATCAAGCAAGTTAAATTAAGAAGCAGGATTAGAAACAAAGGGCATTTATTTTGAATTTTGAACATTGCGAGCATGAGTAAATGCAATTTATATTCTTTAAAAGTTTAAAAAGTTTATTATCTCTGTGATAAAGCTATTTTGTTCTCAATCAACATTCATCTTTTGGCACATTTATTCAGAAAACTTGGATTCAATTCATGTAAAGGGACAGTAAAGTTTTTTTTATTTATTTTTTTAATAATTCATAAATGTTTTTTTTTTAATTGCCAAGTCAAGTTTATAGAATGATTTCTGTCATTATGTGAACACTACAACTACTGATTGCAAGTATCTCATCAGTCAATCACATGAGAGCAAATCTTTATTTAGGCACGATGGCAAGGTCAAGCAAGCCTATTTTTAAAGGTTCAAATAACCTTGGAGTACTTTTTGAGATTTAATAGATTTGTGTGTGTTGAGCATCAGTTAAGACAACATTAGCACCTGTCAGCTTTAAATGTTTTGTCAGATAATTTCATCTTCAAAGTTTAAAATAATTTTTGGGGCACGATGTAGCACAAATCTGCAAGTGAAGTGATGATGGGTCGGTTTCACATAATTATTCATATTTAAGTTTTCTTTGAGAAGACCCTGCTTCTTAATTATTTATAAGAACATGTACTTTCCGAAAGCAAAGCAGACCTGCCAAGCTGTGAGACCCAATGAACGGGTGAGACCACGTCCGCGGACTCCACATACAGTATGGCACACCGCATTTAGCCATGCATAATGGGTCGTATGTGTTTGTTTTTAAGATCCACAGGGTTTATTGCATGTCTTTCCCTGCAATGCTGTCAGGGCCTATACAGAAAAAAGCTTTATGTTTTCAGCAAGCATTTTTGTTGGGAGAGCTGTACAAGAATTGGAGAATGGCAAACTTTGTCTTTTATCAGTTGAGTTTGTTACCATTCAGACACATCGCCTATATATCCAGGCTGCTGTGTTCGCCCATGCTTAAAATCCTCCAGATTACCGGCAGGGCTAATGGTTGGAATAGATAGGGCAAGAGACCTGCTGTATTGCTATAGGCTATCCACTGTGTCTGCATTCAGACCCAGTGATTGAAGAGAAGAGAAGGTTGCCTCATTTATAGTGTTAATATAAACATGATTATCTTTATAATGATATAAATTGTGGATATGTGTATAGGAAACTACGAATAACATATGCAGCAGGACATCAAATTAC